GGAAAAATGTTACATTGCCATAAGATTTGATTACGCGTTTCACCTTTCTAGGTTTCATCAGAGACAACAACGTAAAAAGTAATGTGTGTGTATTTGTGTGCATGCTTAAATAATAATTCATTAGTACATTTTTCCTAAGGATGCACATAAATACACAGACATTTTTTTCTTTCGTTTCTGGATCTGATGAAGCTTTGAAAGTCGAAAAGCGTAATCAAACCTAGTTTCAATGGAACATTTTCCATTTGTGAAATTTCTTTAAATTTTTTTGAGATTCTTTAAACACATGGGGACAAGCACACACACATATGAATGATACAATTCTTTTAAAATATTACTGTCAAATAAACGATAGTGGATTCCGATCCGATATAAAATTGTAAATGATGGAAAGAATTAAATCTTAAAATGGTAAGGGAGATAAATGTAATCTTGGTCTTCAAGAAAAATTGACCATTCTAAAAAATTTAGGTAACCCAAATTTAGTAAATAAAATAAATGAATTATTGATCCCATGGAGACATGAAAATAATTATCTTTTGAAAAATGCAGAACTAATTGTCTTTTTACAGTATATATATATATATATATATATATATATATATATATATATATATATATATATATATAATCTAAAATTACCTCATATAGAAAATAGACTATTTCGGCAGATGTAGATATCGGTTGTCTGTTTTATCAACCCCGGTGTGAACTGATTTTGCGAGTGTACTGTTAGGAAAAGCAGGAACTATTTTAGATAGTAGAATAGTAGATCCCAAACGGATAGGCATATACAGGGATGATGGACTTATTTTCATCCCCGATAGTAATGGAACACTAACCGCGATGATCCAAACTAGGATCCACTTGGATTATATAACAACGCATTTTTTACCTTTACTATATATATATATATATATATATATATATATATATATATATATATATATATATGAGAGTTACGATAGTTTATTTAGTCATTTGTGCTGGGTAGGGACAGTGATTATTTTCTCGTCCAGACAAATTTACAGTTTGTTTCATTTACTGTTGTAAGCTGTTTGTGCTTTCCTTGATATTATTGATGTAATTTTTTCTTTTCTTTTTATTTACCCATATATATTTAGAAAGCTTTTTGTTGTTCGCATATTTGTAAAAGATGATGTTTCCGTATATTTATATTTACATACTATCTCTGATATTGTGCATTTTTACTCATAAAATTAGCATATCTTAAAACATCACAGACACATACACACACGCGCACACACACACACACACACACACACACACACACACACACACACACACACACACATGACCATGAGAAGAAAAAAATCAAACTTCCCCCAATGAAAACTGCATAAATTATTTTTCAATGCAATATAAAAGTAAAACGATAAAGTAAAAAGTAAATTGCTGATATCCCCTGACGAGTGGGTGAAACTCTAGAACCGCGATGGTTACTATATATATATATATATATATATATATATATATATATATATATCATAATTAATTCAGTGTGTTGCTTCTTCTTAATTACTATGTTACCTGTCGTCACCGTTTCGTAGGTATGACGCTTGCATTCTATCGCAAGAGTTCGGGTTCGATTCTTGGTAGTGTTTGCAGTTGAGTTCCATAGATAGGATGAAACGGCCGCCCAGTGCTTTCTGCATTCTGTTGAGGATTCTTCTACACTCGCCGAATTATGATTATTCAAATCCTCCTAATAATAATAAGCATGATCACCTAACAGTGATTGGTATATTCATTACGCCGATCCCTAACATTATGAATTCGATCCGGTTCGAAGAAATCATACTTAAATTATTTCTCGATACGTAACATTGGAATAAAATTTGAAATCGAAATTTTCCCCTAAACTGTAGATACCATCTGATCATTTTCAATCGGAGATCAACGTCGATTCTCAATTGATGATTTAAAACGTTTCCACTGTGAGATTCATTCCTCCATGATTTTGAATGCTTAATTGACAACTTTAGGATTAATGCGTTTACTATTTCCCAGGATTCATGAAGTTAAGTATTTCTTGACATGATTGATTGTAAACAGAAATGGGAGAATAAATCCAAACATAATAGATTTTGATAATTTCTTACCCATTTGGTGCTCACATTCATTTCACATTTGCCATTTAAAGTTTTATATAAACCTTGATCTTCAAAAAAAATAAATAAATAAAAATTAATAGACGTAAATTCGATGGCAAATAATCGATTTATTCAAAAATGGAATACAAAACCACATCGTCTTAGTATCCTTGTTGATGATTCGACGAATGAATAAGATGCCCTCATTTTAGTTTTGAATGACGACTCCTTTCTCACGTCCAGAAAACCCCCAGAATTATGAAAATCATGTACAAAATCTTCAATCTTTAGTGAAAATTCAGAATAATGAAATATACTCAAACGGAACCGGAAAGTCATTGCACTATTTTGCCTTTGAATGTCAACATGAACGACGATTACAACAGAACTATGGGGGAGTGGTGACCACAGCGGCGTGGAATAAAGGAAGGAATGATGCAATTGAAAGCATTTACATCTCTTTTCAGAATATCCCTAGAAATTGATTTTGTCGCCGAATTTTTGATTGCTTATAAACGTTTGTTTTATACTAAATAATATACTCATTATTGCAGTAGAAAAAACAATACATACATACATACATATATATATATATATATATATATATATATATATATATATATATATAATAAAAAGGCTTAAACACTAATATTCCATGGTTATAATTTATTCCATTAGAATCGTAAATACGATCCAATTCATCAGAGCTACAAATTCAAAAAGAAAACAGAAAAGAACAACTCCGGAAATAAAAATAGAATTTAGAGAGAATGTAAATATGAGAGTGTGGGAGGAATGTTAGAGATAAAGAGAGGGGTAACAGACGAGAGAAGGTGGGAGATTAAACCTTAACAGAGAGTGTTATTGTTACTTGAGGTGAGTGGAAGGGGGAAATATGAATGTTGTCGGATGTCTAATACATTATAGATATATTTCGTGGTGACATACACACACCATAGATGATCTAATGTTAGTATATCCTTACTCTGTCCTGGACATTGAGTTCTACCTGGATTCTATCCTCTCGGAATTTTTTATTCAAAAAATATACATGTATGTGTATGCACCTATGTATATATATGTATATATTTTGCATATGTATGTGTATATTTACCACTAATATTATATATATATATATATATATATATATATATATAGAAGTCAACACTTAGAGGCGACAGTCTGTTTCATCAGATGTGGCCTGACGATTGCATATAGCATGAATCAGACTGTCGCCTCTAAGTGTTGACTTCTATGTTCACTTTTATATTTACACACGCTCTATCTCTGATATTGAGCACTTTATCCCATAAATATAGCACACCTTAAGACTATATTTCTTTATATATATATATATATATATGGTTGGGTTGATGTAAGTTGGTGACATATGCGATCGTCAGACAAACTGATTAATTTTTTAAAAATTTGGGTTTATGTAGATTGCGTGTATTGGTGTTATTATGGAAGTGGGGGGATCGTCGTCATGATGTCACTCATACTAACGCAAACATAGATGCATGTCCGTACACCCGTACATATATTCTTTTTAATTTTTGCTTCTTCGCTTAGGTTAAATTTAACGTAGGTCATATTTGATTGGTTGATCAGAGTAAAGCCCACAAAACTCATACCCTCCCGTTTTTTTGTAAAAAGAGATTGTATTTTGCTTTTAAATCTAAATAAATCGTTCACTCGCCTGAATTTACAATTTACAATCGCCTGATGAGATGCATTGTTACGCATCGAAACACGACTTCAATTGTGTAGCGATTTTGGCATGTTTTCGGTGTAATATCCTCATATACCATATATTTTCGGTGTAATATCCTCATATATATATATATATATATATATATATATATATATATATATATATATATATATATATAAAGTGAACATTGAAGTCAACACTTAAAGGCGACAGGCTGTTTCATTCTAGACGCAATCGTCAGGCCACCTGACGATAGCGCCTAACATGAAACAGACTGTCGCCGCTGAGTGTTGACTTCAATGTTCACTTTTATATTTATATTTACATACGCTGTATCTTTGATACTGAACACTTTATCCCATAAATACAACACACCTTAAGACCATATTTCTTCATATATATATATATATACATTACTTTAAAGGTATAAAATTAATAACCGTGCATTTTCTGCTCATTCTCTCTGTCTTTCTCTATCGTTCACATATGCATTTTCAAGAGTGGATATTTGTTCAGCATCGGAAGCTCTAAAACTTGTCAGTCGTTGTCCGGTGATATTACGGTAGATTGCTGGAATAATTTCAATCTCCAAAATACCTTCTATTTTTTTTTCTTTATAGACAACGCGATATTTTAAGGCTTTTAAAATCAATGATATAATTCCCATTCATATTGAACCTGCATCACAGAGATTGGCATAATTTAACAGAGAAGACTTAATAAAGACACCATTAGATAACCAATACAAATGTATTATTTCCTTTTGTTGAATCTTGGTGTATATTTTATTCTTTTATTGCTGCTGTTATTATTGTTTTCTTCAAAGTCGACCTGACATTTATTTACCGAGTGCAAACGCTAAGTATACATGGCCGTTCGCGCTCTTATACGTAAGATCCTGCCATGATGTTTTCTTTATATTTTGTTTCCGTTGTTAAAATCATCAGCACCACGCTCCTCGCGAAACTTGTATTCATTTGTGCCATCCGGATTCAACGATTATATTGAAGCAGGAATAAAAATAACACTATTTATGACGTTCATTGTCTTAATGCAAAGCTTTCGATTTATTTCCTTCATTTTTGTTCTTTATAATTTAAAAAAAAAGGCATTTTTAGTATTTTTTCAAAATGTCTTCGTTTAATCAGTTCGTTAACAGCTTTATAGACTTATAGCCATATCACGTTGAAACACCGGTTCTTGTACGATCAATGTGTTTAAGCAACGCCGAGCCTGGTCAGTACCAAGATGGGTGACCACTTGGGAATATCAAGTGCATGTAAGGATGGTGAAATGTATAACGCCTTGGAAGTTGAAATCGGAGAGCCGAGTTCTAGTTCCAGTCAGGTTTTTTTTATTCACTTAAGCGCAAATACCTTTGCGAAAGATATGAATCCAAAACTCTCCCCATTTATGGGTTAAATAGTCAGGCTTGTATGAGTAAATCATTATTATATATATATATATAAAAAAAAGTTTTAAAATCTAAAAAAATATTTCCTGGCTTTAACTAACCTGAATAAGGTTGACAACCGTAAAAAAACAACAAAAAACAATCAAACAACCCTATACATTTTGTTTTTTCTTATCATCTAAAGGATGTGAGTGTGCTAATAAAACAATTTTTTTACCTACAAAAACTTTTTATATGCGAAAATAAAATCAAATAAAATTTAGTGAGTTAAGAAATAAAATAAGTATAATTTGATTTAAAATAATATAAAAAATATAAATAAATAAATAAGAAAAGAAAATAGGAAATTAACTCAGACTACTTGCATCTAATCTGGATGAGCGTTTAATATGAGATCCTCAAGCCGCATGTAACATTGTTATTACTGAAAAATACATTTTCCTAAAGTAGAACCCTTCCATTAGTAATTGGGAAATTAAAGCTTAGGTATAAATTCCGTTGCATTTCAAGTGCTTAAAATATCCTTTTATTGCATCATTGCATTTGAAGATGACTGAAATGTAATTGTTAGCCAACGTCACCACCTTATCTTTGATTCAGGTGGGGTGAGCCTTCATAGTTCTACACAACTTTTTTTTCTTTCTTTATAATTTTACTGAATGTTTGTTCCCCTACTCTACCACTCAGACCCTCTTTTCTATCCCATCCATTTACACAAAAACTCATCTGATTCATAACACTCACTTCTTCTATTGCCTTCACTATGCCCTTACAATGTTGAATTATCCAATCTAACTTTACACGTTATATTTTACAAAAATTTCAAATGTCACGTTCTGATTCTAACAGCAAAGCATTGGTCATCCCTGTTAAGATTCAAACGTGATAGTTTTGTCAGAAAATAAATGAAATAAAATAATACGGAACAAATGAGAAATGCTTATAAATCTTACATCTACCGCTTTTATTAAAGCTTCGTGAGTGAATGTGATAGGAAGAAAAATAAAGAATGAGGAAAAATTCTGGCATTTTTTATTCCTGTATTGTTTACAAAAGTTAAGCAGACCGCATTTATCTTATCAAGTAGTTCGTGTCTAAAATTTATATAATATCTTGGATTCGGATGACGGTGTATATTCGTTTGAGTGTGTGTGTGTGTGTGTGTGTGTGTGTGTGTGTGTGTGTGTGTGTGCGCGTGTGTGTGTTTGTGTGTGTTTGTATATGTAGTAGGCATTTTGATGTAATGAATATGCATGCACCTGGGTTCCCCTCCCACTCAGAGTAAGATGATTGGCTGGTGTCAGCCATAAATACAGACTGATGTGGATGTACATGGACGACGCCTATAGTCTTCGCCTATTGCCTACGCCTATTGCCTACCACTACGACGAGGACCAGTCCATTACGGTTACCTGCTAGATTGTCCTACCCGGTTACAGTAGTCAACAACCACTTTGCTACTTCGAACAAATATATCCCTTTCCGGGACACCTACATTTTTATTTATCTTTGGTTGCTGTCTATATTTTCATTTGGAAACATTTTGCATGACAACTATTGTAGATGCTTCAACAATAGGCTTTTAAAAAGTTGCTGCTGTATTATAGTGTGCTTGACATGCGTTTATAGATGGTGAAATATTTATCAGAATTCCCTCGAGGTATTTCATACGTAAAGAATTATGTTCCTTTCTTAATTAAGCTGATATTTATACAATAAAACTTAAAATAAAAATAAAAAAAACAAGTCAATCGGTAAAAAATATTTTACAACAGTTTATAGACTAAAGGTTACCTTACCGCCGCAACAAATTTTGTTTGTTTCATCAATTTACGAATGCATATGTGTTAATGTAGCAAATTTCAATGTTTCTAATTTCACAGTGAACAAATTTCTACAAATTTTAACATCCGACACATTCTGAGATTTTCTTTAAAAAAAAAGGTAATTAATAATCCATTTACGTACTTAATAACCCACACGTTTATATTTTTTTTTATCTAAAACGATATTGTTCGTGTATTTCAAAATAATTTATCTGAATTCTAAATAGGGAATACCTGGAAAATGCGCGAATCTGTCTTTTTTTCTCTATCCTCAATTAAGCGTTAAATCGACGGGTAGACTGATCACTCTAGCTCTGCTGTTAATCATTCTAAGAGAAGGAAATTTCTGAATTCCAATATATTTCCCAGGGCACATGGTAATTTATAGATGAGAAATAACAGGGTTTTCTGGATTTACGAAAGCTTCCGTCCTGAAAGAATCTAGAATTAAGAACTTGTAGTACATGTTGGATTAAAGAAAAATGAATATTTATTTTTTATTTTAATAACTAAAAATTGTAATTGTTTTGCGCTTTTGATAAATAATGTTGATTATAGATATTCATTTTACTTTACAACTCTGTGTTCAAATTTATTTTTCTATCCACTAATGGTGATTGTCACCATTAGTGGATAGGCAAAGTATTCGCAAGGTACGTATTTAAAATCAGTGCTAAAGCTTTTCATATTTCTCATTTGTCTGTCTTGATATAGCTCGAGAGCGTCTACATGGCCTTTTGGGTGATTAATTATCTTATACTCTTTCCCATTAGCTTCTCGCTACTGTATCGCTATTTCCATGCCTGTGTTCTGACGAGCTTCATTCCTTAGTAGCACCACCCCTGACATTTATACCTGAAACCCCATCATGCGACGTGAATTATCACTATTCCCTTTGTATTCCAATAGTAAAGATGAAGTTGTCTTCGGACAATGTCTTCCAAAGAACCGCCGTTTTTTAAAATAAATGTCCGGCTGATTTTCAAATCACTACAATCTAGATCTCTTAAGGTTTAGGGTGAACTGGTACTTTCCTGCGTAGCCCAAGGAACTTCGCTTTTACCTTTGCTTACATTCATGCAACACCTCACATTAAACCTCTACCTCGAGTAACTCTTGTGCCTTAGATTGGGTGAACATTAGTATAATGTATCCTATTCAATTAAGAATAATCGTCAAACGATCAAGGATATACTTTAAAATAAGCTGCTTATAGAGAAAATTACTGAAAACATTAAAATTTCTTGAACTGAAATAACTTTTATCGTAATTGCAAAATCAGTTCCTCACTTATTTCATTTTCGAACAGCAAAATTTTGAGACCAGAGACCTCAATAAAGTCAATATTACTTATTTTAATGCTTTTAATTTAAAAAGTGACACCCCCCCCCCAGTGTTTTATTTTATATTCGAAAAATATTGTCTTTTTGTTTCTTCTTTTCAAAATCTAGCGCTTATAATTTTAAAATGCAAAAGCCGGTAAAGAAAGAAGAAATTTCATTTTTTTACTTTAATATTTTTTTTTTTTTTGATCATTTGTATATTCCTGCACTACCACCTTTGGGAATTGAACTCGCGAAATCCTATGAAACAAAATAGCTTGATCAGCTCTTTTATTCACGAGGCTACTAAAGGAAAATGTCTATAGGTTTGAATCTAGTATAAATGATTTTCTAATCTGAGATATAATGCAATGCTGATATTGACCTGTCGATTTCCTAATTAAAGACTACAGATTTTATTTGAATGAATCGGTAGTAATCACATGTCAGAAATACAGATAAAATAGGAAAAAGAGAACTAGAAAAATGATACTTCACTCATATATGCCTACACGTTTTTTATAGTGTTGTCTTGTTACGTTCGATAAAATCTTACCGTTTGCAATTCCTATGAAATATGAACGGGAATAATATTTAATCTCTATTTGGAGGGGAGCATGTCCAATATTTCACCTGTCATCATAGATTTTAGTTTCTTCTCGTAAAATATACACCTGACTCAAATAATACTTTTCAATGATTTTAATAAAAGCTGAATAAACGAAAATGCTTCTAAAATTAATTTAATATCCTAATCGAATTTCCTGCAAATTTCAGTCATTTATTTCAGTCATTTATTTCATTCACCTTAAGTTAAGGTTTCCATCGTTTCTAAATTTCCCTTTGTTTCATGCTTTATATTAAAATTCTCCATGATTTCATTTAAACCCAATCTTTCCACGTTTTGCCTCTTGGCTAAAGAAATTCTAGAAACATGATTACCATTTTACTTTAGAGCTCTATTCGATGTTGTCATTGTTTCCATATTGTTTCTCCCTTTCTCTTCTTTTTAAGGAACGGTCTTTCTTTTCCCGCCATCATCAGAAGTCGGAAAGGTGGCAAATTTCCCTCTCAGAAATTTATTAGTGACGGCACTCGGCTTCTTCGGTTTCATAAACCCATTTTGTTCGATTCATATTAATTAAATTCGATCTTAATATCGTAAATCAATTTATTGTAGCACACCTCATGTTTCATTAGCAATCGGTTGAGAGTTAGAGAAAACTGCCAGAGCTTTCCTCTTCTCTGTGATAGACAACTGAAAATTAACAAGCAATTCTGTACGCTGGGCGTCAATAATGCATAACATAATTTAAGCAAATGTCGCTTTGTATTTATTCGTTACGATGGTTCATGTGTTTTGCCAAGAGTGAAAGGAATAACATTAGAATCCCGAAAATAAAAAGGCCTTAACGATAAAGGCTACTGTTAACTTGCGTGTGGTAGATATCTATAGTAAGCGCCATATTTTGGAAATATATATGGATGCACGGACAAGAAACATCTTGTTTCTGGTTGTGTACATGTAAATAACTATTTTGTAGTTTTAACGACGACGTGAAAGTCATTCTAAAAAGCTTATGAGTGCAGGAAATCAAATCCTCGTTCGGTGCTTGAGAGTTGTAAATATGTATCATTTCTTCTATATATCTTGTTTCCTTCGGGGCGTTCATGGAAATGGATCTCCACAACTTCCACTCTTTTTTAACTCTTA